CAATAGATTCTTTTTTATTTTTTTTTTTCTGAATTTCACGTTGCCTGTGAAGGCCAGGATGGGGCTGCCTCTAGCCTGCCCCACGCGGAGCATCCTGTGAGCAGGAAAATGGAGACACGCTTCAATCTGAAGGGAAATTTTGAAATCTTCCAGCCACCGTGTGGCCAGTGCCTGAGAGTGGAGGAGATGTGGAGGGAATTAAGGGCCAAGACGGAAAGGGGAAAAGAAAATCCCCACCCGGGATGTCTGCGAGGGCCGGCCATGGAGCTGGGGTTTCTCACCAGCACCAACCAGTGCACCTCCAGCATGCTCGATAGCTAATATTCTGACTTACTACTGGGTGGTTTTAAGGCCATTTAGCCTTTATTGGGTGGATTCTGGATGCTCAAGGCTTGAGCACGGAGAGCCCACGCGTGGTCCGTCCATCCCGGGGGCTCGGCAGCTCCGCAGAGCAAGTCTCCCGAATCCTGAAAAACAAAAGTTGTTGGGAACGTGCTCCGAGGACAGCGAGCTTTCCAGAAGAATTGAAGAAGAAAAGGTGTTTGGAACTTGCAGGCAGGCTCCCAAAAACGGCAACAATGTGATAATTTTTTCATCATGTCATATTACAGAATGGCGTGTTTTTCCCAGATCATTATTCATCATCTCTTCAAACCTCCCAGCATGAGTCAGAGTGATTTTCTAAATTCAGGCTCTCTTTTAAGAATATTAACATCTTTAAATCTACAATATATTTTCTGTCAAATCAGAAAATCACTTGTACACCTCCATGGTTTACTCTTTTGCCTTTCTGGAGACAGCATATTACCGTTTTTTTCCAGTGTCATAAATTTAACCTGTTTTACTTTCACTATTCTGGATCAAGTTATTGGGTTGTTTTCTTTATCAACACTTACTCATGATAATTTATGTCTCTTTAAATGGGGTTATCGGGGCAGTTCCATCTTCGTAAAATTATCTGGCAAGCATTTTTGGACAGATTATTAATGTGATTAAGTAATGGGCTTCTTGCTTTTTTAAAACATTGCTTTGTGGAAGAATGACAAAAAAGACAGGGGCCAGTCAGAATATTGTTCATCCAGTTAATCATCTCCTACGCTCTCTTTATCGCCTGTTGAAAGTACTGCAGTCCCGATGATACAGAGGGAAACAAATCTGGAGACTTCTGCACATTTTAACATGGGAGGAATTTCCGTGTGTGCTCCTAGCTAATGTCGTGAGAACATAAGAATCCCACTGTGATAAAAATCTGAAAATAATGAATATTTATGTTGAAAGAGTGACACTTCTTCAGGAAATACATGATTTTATTTTTTTTTTTAAAGCTACCTTATATCTCCTCAAGTTCTTCCTATGACTGAGCCTGTCACAGCAAAAGAAGTTAATTTGCTTCAGCCCAGTGACTTTCGCTGTGTCAAAACTCAGCTGTGAACCCAACAGAAGAATAAATCAAGTAGCTGTCTTGAGCGAGGAAGAGTTACACCCAGTTACATGACACTTTGTAAGCTGGCATGCCTTTTGGCTATTTTTCCCATCACTTCACAACCGCCAGCCTCCCTCCACCCTCCCCTGTTCCTTCCTCCTCGTGCTTTGCTTTCCTTCCCTGCTCAACCTCCTCGAGCTTTGCTTTCCTTCCCCACTCAACCTCCTTGTGCTTTGCTTTCCTTCCCTGCTCAACCTCCTTGAGCTTTGCTTTCCTTCCCTTCCCCGCTCAACCTCCTCGAGCTTTGCTTTCCTTCCCCGCTCAATATCCTCAAGCTTTGCTTTCCTTCCCCGCTCAACCTCCTCGAGCTTTGCTTTCCTTCCCTGCTCAACCTCCTCGAGCTTTGCTTTCCTTCCCTGCTCAACCTCCTTGAGCTTTGCTTTCCTTCCCCGCTCAACCTCCTCGTGCTTTGCTTTCCTTCCCCACTCAACCTCCTCGAGCTTTGCTTTCCTTCCCTGCTCAACCTCCTCGAGCTTTGCTTTCCTTCCTCGCTCAACCTCCTCGAGCTTTGTTTTTATTCCCTGCTCAATCTCCAAGCTGACCCGCGAGCCCAGAGTCACCCAGGTGGGCATTTCTAAGAACAGTAAAGAAAAATCCCCCGAGGTTTGACCCAGCTTGAGTTCCCACCTCGTCTTGTTGTAACGGGGAGGGGAGGTGGCAGCAGCAGGCAGGTGAGACCCGCGGGCATCCCCAGGCAGCTTCACTCGCCGTTTTCTGTAAATCCATCGAAGCCTTGGCCAGACCTGGTCTGGTTATTTCCGAACCTGTTCCCAGTGAGCCCCGTCAGCACGGGGGCTGTCACAGCTCAGACACCCGCCTTGGAGACTCTGACCCTGCAGCTTTACGGTTCAGTTTGACAACAAACAATGAAACGAAGCAAACTCATAAATTAGGGAATAAGTCAGCAAGAGGTGTAAAATACATACTCCTTTTCTTTACAGCGCGTATGGGGAGCTGTTAGACCTTTGTAATTCACGCTCTGCAGGTACTGCAGAAAGCTGAGGTGCAAAGCCAGGTTTCCGTCAGTGAGAGGGGGAACTTTCCGGGCCTCATTTTTGTTGAGCTAGGCTGGATGACTGCAGGAATGTGGCAAAAACTGGGCTTTGGGATGAGACCAGTGTATGTCACCGTGAGCAGGAGGGCTGCGTGGGAAAAGGGGGCCGAGAAGGGACCGTCCCCGTCCCAGGGCAGGTTTTTCTTCAGCTCTTTCCAGGGCCCATCTCATTTCTCCCAGGTAGCTGCACTTGCCACACCGTATATTCAAGCACTTTTTTTTTGTCCGTACCCGTCCATCTTTCAGTGTTAAATCTGGCATTCAGCTCTCTCTGAAAACCTCCGTAATTTCAGTCAGTTGTTCTTGTGTGAAGCGTTTTTGAAGCCGGTGCAGGAGCAGCAGCGGGATGAGGCGGGGTCGGGAAGGGGGTTTGGGGGAGGCATCCCCTTGCCCTCCCGCCGACCAGAGAGCAGAGGTTCGGACTGACTGCTGCTCCCCTTCATCCCGTCTCAGGATTTTCAAAAAGCCTCTCGCCCGTGTCCCCGACCTCCCTTCGCCTCTTTGCGAGACGCAGCGGGGCTGAGACCAAGGGGGATTTGCCCCCCAGCCCCGGGTTGAAGCCGTGGCTACGTCCCCCGCCAGCTTGCTGTGGTCATGGCTCAGCACCCTGAAGGGAGAGCTGGTCTGAAAATGGTGGCACCGAAGGTGCTGATCTCAGAGATGACGCTTTGGGCTCTCACAGCTGGTGCTTGCCCTGACCCGTGGGTGCAGGGCCCGATCCCGGGGTGGCGGGACCCCCCCAGTCCCTCTCTGTCACGACGGAGGCTGGGTCGGTGGTGCCGTATTTACACCTTGAATCCAGTTAAATGCAGATGTGTGAGGAGAAAGTTAGCTCCTGCGACGGCATCAGGGCAGTTGGCAGCAACTTCCTCCCAGCCGGGCCCTCCTGGGTCGCTCTGGTTGGGGTCAGAGCTGTGTTCCCTCGCGTTGTGCCCGGCTGCACAATCTCTGCGCTTCCCTCGGCCTCGCACCGCCGGCGTTCCTCCTTCCCCTGGGTGCCCGACGCTGGGCACCCCAAACCCACGTTGGCCTCCCTGAGGCATAAGGCGCTGTATTAAAAAAACAAACGAAAAAAGGACTTTGGGTTGGATTTGTAGGGTTGGGCTTGGTGACGGCACTGTCTGGGCTGGTGACGTTGAAGCCATCGAGCTGCCGCGGCCGCCCGGCCCCGTCCTGCAGCTCCGGGTGTGCGGGGAAGCCCCTCAGCACCCCGCAGCCCCCCGGCTTTCCGCTCCCTGTTTTTTTTGGGGGTGGTGAGGTGGGTTTTGGGGGGCTGAGAGGACCCCTTTGCTCGCCCTGCCCTGGCCGAGGCCGCCGGCAGAGGAGGGCCGGGCGCCTTTCCCAGCCCCGGCCGCGTTTCGCTGGTGGATTTCTCTTCCCTTTGGCTGTGACCTGCGAACGGCGGAGCAGGCGCTCTGCCAATTTTGTGATCTGCTGCCTGCTTCAAAATGGAGGCAGGAAGGTATCCATTTTCATCAAGGAGATGACAGTGCTTCAGTCTTCCTGACCATCTGGAGAGAGGCACCTCCAGCGCAGAAACAAAGCGCGGCGGAACAGAGCGAGCGGATAGGCAGAGGGAATAAATTGCGCTGTAAATAATAAATTACGCTTATCAGCCCGGACTGGTGGGGGGGGGGGGATTTTATTTTTGGTTGGTTGGTTGGTTGGTTTGGTTTGGTTTGGTTTTTTTAAATGCTGTCTTGGTCGAACTCAAGGAAAGGAAGAAATACAACAGATATTTTCTAAAAGGCAAGTTGCAGAAAGCTCTGGTGTATTAGTAAACAAATATAAGCAAATGAGTTTCTTGGCACACATAGGAAGTTTGTTGCACGGACAAATGCAAAAAGTCCTCAGAAAGGAGGAGTTTTCTTCCCCTGATGTGTACACATGCTGTGTTGGTGGTCTTGTGTAGGTCCAGGTTTTTAATAGCCCTTTCAAGCTTCTCTGGAAGGAGCTTGATCTGTGGGAATTTAATATCCCAAGATATGTTTGTAATTTTCAGCGTTCCTCGTAACACTGTTTTTCAGAATTTCATTTTTCTTTAGTTTAGGAAATAAAAGGTTTTGACTTCCTCGCAGTGCTTTCAGTTTTGTTCTTAAGTGGGTAAAGTCGCTAACTCAGTCCTAGGAGAAAATCAGCATTGTTTCATGTTCTTGTTTATTTTAAGCTCCGTAATGCTCCAGGAAGAACATGTGTACATCTGTTTGTTCATTCTATTTACAGAAATCCATAGTTTGACAAATACCTTGCAAATATCCTTGTTTAAAGCTGGAAAATGTCAGGCTGGAGTTTCTTTTGAAGCTTAAAATTTATTTTCCAGTCACACATATAGTGAGGTTTTTGTGCTCTGTGAGAAGAATTATGTGGTGTTGTGAAGGGATTTATACTGAGCAAGGTAAAAACTCAATATTTCTTGCCTCCTTCCTGCTAAAGGCATACTAAATTAGTCTTTTTTTTCCCTAGGTTTATGCCCCGTCAGCAAGCACTGCCGACTACAATAGGGATTCACCAGGTTATCCATCCTCAAAACCAGCAGCCAGCACTTTTCCTAGCTCCTTCTTCATGCAAGGTAAGGTGCTGCTTTCAAAGGGCGATCTATTTTGCATACGTCTTCTGGGTTTGTATTTTAGTTTATGTGTAGTCGAGACACGCTGGAATATCATCTTGTGGTGTGTAACATTACCATTAAAATGAAGACCTGTACGTCTTCGTTTGACCATTATGTCTCTGAACATCTCGTTTTGATCCTGCAGTGAAGCAGCGTAATGAATAACTTGCCAGCCTCTTATCACCTGAGGTTCTTGAAGTGTTGTTTTTTTCTTGTGGTTTTTTTTTTTTTTTTCCAGCGTGTGTGTGCGTGTGTGTGTGTGTGTGTGTGTGTGTGCAGGGATATTATACATACGCTAAACGCGCACAGATTTGTGCATGTGCTTTGTGCGTTGCTGGTTTACGTTCACGAGGAAGATTTCGCCTTGTGTGAAGTATGTGGTGCTACAAGGACGTCTGTTTGCGTGCCTAGGCAATGAGGGCAACCTTCTGAAAATGAAGCCATCTCTCATTTTGAGGATGGGTTAATAGTTCTCATGCATTCACTGCTAACTATGTTACATTTCTCAGAATGAGTACGTGCAAGTAGAATGAAATTGGGTGTAACGTAGTAAATAAAACCCTTAGAGTTTGGAAAGATCCACACGCCATTAGGGTACTCGTCTTTTGCCACATTTAGGGCAAAGCTTTTAAACCCTTCTACATATACTCTGCTTTAGGCTAAGTAAAGGGTAAGTAAATCTGTTTAATTCAGCAGGACTGCTAGGCTAAAGTATTTGCAGGGCGAGGGATTAAATTTTAGATTTTATTCTATATACGCTTTCCAATTCCCATAATTAGGAGGGAAAAAAAAAACCACAAAACTCAACCCACTTTTGTGTCCCACCACCTGAAGGTCAGGTGTCCCTGGGGATGGCTCAGCTCCGGGGGAGAGGACCCTCGTCTCCGTGTCTCTTTGTTGGAGGACGCTGGTGTCCGGGTCAGGCAGCCGCCACGGGAGGAGGAGCAGCAGCAGGCAGGGACGTGGGCAAGAGTGGCCACCGGCCCCTCCTGCCCACTGGCCCTCCGCCGGCGCTGGCGGGTCCCCGCGGGAGGGGAGAGGCCATCGCTCAGAGCACTGGCCCCGTGGGTCACCTCCTGGGTGGGGGATCTGCGTCTGGACAAAAGGCAGGCCATGACTGGAAAGCCAACGCTGTTCTTGGCGTAAAACACAAATACACCACCCCAAGAGCCAACCTGCTGTGATACTCCCGTGGACTTACAAAGCTGGGGATTAATAGGGTTCTAACGATGCCAAATATTTACCCTTTGTAGCGCTTAGGCCGGTCTGTGGTTTTAAATGTTATCTTCTGGCAGATCCGTGTTGAAGCCATCAATCTGAGTTAAATGACTGTTCAAACAGCCACGGGAAGGTGATGCTAGAGGTGCCGCTGCTGCCAGGGTGTTTGAAGTGTATAAATAAGGCAGGGCTGTAGGTGAGACATCATAATTTTTTATTAGACCAACTCCTGCAGTTTGAAAAAAAAAAAAACAAAACACGTGCCTGTCCTTCAGGTCTGCTGATCGTTACAGAAAAGTTACTTTTTCTTTCTTTTTTTTTGTGAACACATTGGCATTCTTCCAGGAGAAAATACACTTCACTGCGTTATTATGATTCCATTTCAGCGTGTCTAGTTAAACTCAAAATATGCAACCAACTGTTTGACTTGATAAAATCTGGGGAGGTTTTTTTCGACTCCCCAGTGCCTCGGTGGTGAACTGGCCTGAAGGATGAACGCAGAGGCCCAAGCTGTGAAACCCCTAAAAGGAGAAACCACACAAGCGGTGCTACTCTCTTTTTAAACAAACAAAAAGCAGCAACGAAAAAACTCCCGAAACTTTCTGAATGTGGAAACATTCAAACTTCAGGCATTAGCTAATCATTTCCCAAGTTGAGGCATCTCCAGAGCTCGTTAGCCCACCCTCGTTCTGTGGCCTTCCGTGTGTGTTGTTTCAAGGCTCAGATTTTTTGTCTCTGATGAAATTTGTTACAACGGGAGTTTGTGTCCTTGGGTTTGTGATACCAGAGCAGGAATAAGGCAGCAGGAACCTCCAAAGCCTGAGCGGTGTGACTCTCACGAAGCATCGCGGGATGACGCGAGCGTTGTTGCTCCGTTCAGCTTTGGTTTTTAAAATCAAAGTCTGTGGCTTTACACCGAAGCCCCGTTGGGGACAGAGTTTGCCAGGGCCCGGAGCCGTTGGCCCCGTGGGCTCCGGTGGCCAGCGGCGTTTCCCTCCTGTGTTACAGATGGCCATCACAGCAGCGACCCGTGGAGCTCCTCCAGCGGGATGAACCAGCCCGGCTACGGGGGCATGTTGGGCAACTCTTCTCACATCCCCCAGTCCAGCAGCTACTGCAGCCTGCACCCACACGACCGCTTGGTAAGGCGCGGGCAGGGGGTGGGGGGCACGGCTGGCACCCCAGCGCGCCGACCCGAGTCGTGCCGCTCAAAGCTCCGCCGCGAAACCGTGGAATCACAGACAAAACCTTGCCTTGGGGATTTTCTCTGCTGAGGGAAGGGAACTTTCTGGAGCAGAAGGGTGGCACGGGCTGGGTGAGGAGGCGGGGTGGCGACTGGGCCCTGCGGCGGCTTCGCCCTCGATGCGCTGCCGGATCCGCTGCAGGTCCCCAGCTCTGTGCAGAACCTCTCCTGGTGCAACTGGGAAGTGAAAAAAGGGGGAAAAAAATCCCTGTCAGGGAGGCTGTGCCTTCAGCTGACAGCGCGAGGAGAGGGTTGAGCCCGGGTTTGCGCCCTCTGCTCGCCTCCGCGGCCGCCATCCTGCCGGTGGGCCACACACGCCTTTGCTTTTGGTGTTCATTTATGGCAGTCGGTGTCCTTCGCTGCTCAGAGTTTCTAGATAAGCATCTAGCATCGATTTTCTGCTTTAAAAAAGGGAGACATTTTTATTTTCTCCGGTACATCCTGATCCCTAGCAGGAGGAAGTTGCTGGGACTGATTCCATCTATTGTATTGGAACGGAATAAAATGGGAATTAAATCTGATCTGAGCACAGCTTAGGGGATGTTCTCCTAATAGCAGGGCTGAATTGATTATGTCGAAATAACCACCGGCTTCCATCAATTCCATTTTTGGTTTGGTTTGTTTTTTCAGTAAGGTGTAAAGAACAGACAGCTAAAGCGAAGTCATTTTTCTCCAAATGCGTGAAACATTACAAGTAATTTTTTTTTTTTTTCTTCCGTGCCTATACTTTTCATTTGTGAAGACCGTTAAACAGGAAGAGTAACGAGGAGCCCTGGTTTTAAGGGAGGAAAGAGTCCGTTGCTGTCAAATCTCACAGAACCATCTTTTGGGGAATCGGAAGAATTAAAGTCACTCTTGCAAACTGGAAAGTAATTTGCAAAACAAATCTTTAAAGTCTCACGTTTAACGAGGTTTAGCACACTGCTGTGTAAAATTAATAGGAAGTCAAAAGCAAAAGAAATTGCCTCAAAAACTGCTTAATCATGTCCTTATAAAAGGCATAATTAAGGCACTAAGCAAACAACGTTGCTGTGAAGTGACAAGCCTATATAATAAAAATGGAGCATAACTTTTAAAACCCAATTTAATCTAATTTGTTATCTACACTGGTGCTCATTCATCAGAGTTAGGTGCCTTTCCATGGTGTCAGCCCAGGGGAGAGGTAAGAGAGCCGAGTGCCTTCCTGGGGCCGATCTACAACCATTTTTTGCGTTTCAGCTGACCTTGATTCTGTATTTCTTGGGTTTGTAACACGTAAGAAGGTTTTACAAAGAGCTAAAATATTTCTGCAATGTAAAATGGGTAGGGATGTTGCACCTAAACCCCCCAAAATGTTTTCCTTTGTAGATGTAATTATATTTACCCTACATTTCAGAGACAGTGAGGACCACTGATAAATGCCAGAGATAGTGAGGACCTACAGTCCCAAGTCATAGGTGCTCATGTTCATTTATTACGCGTGTCTGGGCTGGCAGAGCCTGCTGGGGTTTAGGTAACGCCAGGACAGAAGGGAGAGGGGGATGCTTTAAATAGTCTCTGCATAATTTCTGCTGGAGGATCAGCGAGAGGTCAGCAGTTTGTGGTCAGCTTGTTGAGGAAAGTTTGAGCGATTTCAGTTCGGTTCCCTGCAAATGTCCTTAACTTCTCAGCGACCTGTAGAGAAAATGAATATAGCAAAAGAAAGGGAGGAAAGCTCTTTATTATTTTTACTTTCTCAGGCATATCAGTGATTTTCTAAATAGATGCGTTGAACACAGAGAGCAGTTCTCCGCTCCGCTATTCACATCCCATGGTTTTCCTAAAATATTTGACAATTGTGGCTGTCTCCCCCGGAGAAATGAGAAAATCCCAAGCCAGATACGTGGCATGGAACAGCCCTTGAGCCGGGAGGGGGGACGGAGTCCCTGGCGTTGGGACCACTGTCCTCCGCAATGGCTGGCTGCTCATTTCTCCGTCACACGAGACGTTCTGCTAGGCCGGGCCTTTTTGGCCGGTTGGGTTTGAGGCTGAAGTCCTGGAATGGCTTAAAATGAGTCAAAGCCTGAAAACGTTACTTAGACCTCAGTCAGAGCTGATGGTCGTTTTTCCATGGATAAGAAAACCAGGTTTGGGCTGTGTTGTTTACATTCTTTGAGCTAACTTTACAGTACTTGGCACTTAATTACAAGAAATCCTGTAAAAGTAGTTAAGGAGTACAGCTGAAGGGAAGGATGGTTTCCAGCCAGCTTACTCTGAACCACTGAATGAGGCAGAGGGCATGGAGATGATGTTGGTCTCACTTCATGCCTTGATCCTGGGCCAGGTAGCACCACATGTCCCCAGGCCCTTGTGTTTCTCAGGAGGCTTTGTGTGAGAGTCTCCAAAACCTAGAGGTCTTGTGCAGGATCTCATCTCTGCTGAGATGGAGGTGAAAGCTGGGCCTGTTCTAGGACCTGTCTGCACACAGGGTCTTAGACCGATGGAGGAGACTATTCTGTAGTGACAAACAGCACTAATGTAAGCCAGGTTTAAAGGAACGCAAATTCAGCAAAGCACTTGACTGCAGCAGCGTTGTGTCAGAGTAAGGCGGGTCTGGTTGAGCGTGTCCGGAGAAGGGCAACGGAGCTGGGGCAGGGTCTGGAGCACAGGTCTGCTGGGGAGCGACTGGGGGAACTGGGGGGGTTCAGTCTGGAGAAGAGGAGGCTGAGGGGAGACCTCCTGGCCCTCGGCAACTCCCTGCCAGGAGGGGGCAGAGAGGGGGGATGAGTCTCTGGAGCCAAGGCCCCAGCGCCAGGCCCCGAGGGAATGGCCTCAAGCTGCCCAGGGCAGGGTCAGGCTGGCTCTGAGGAAGGATTTCTGTGCAGAAGGGGCTGTTGGGCGTTGGAATGGGCTGCCCAGGGCAGGGGGGAGTCCCCGGGATCCCTGGAGGGGTTGAAGAGTGGGCTGAGCCAGCGCTGAGGGATCTGGGGGAGTTGGGAACGGTCAGGGGGAGGGTTGGGGTTGGGCTGGAGGAGCTGCAGGGGCTTTTCCAACCCAGAGGATTCCGGGATTCTGTGGTCGAGGCAGCGGTGTTGCTCCCCAAGCCATCTGCGTGCTGCCCAGCCACTTGGCCCACGCTTGCTGGGAGGACTGGGGTGTCTGTCGCCCCGAGGTGCTGGGGGGTGTCCTCAGGGCGCCTTTTGCGATACCAGCCTGGCGCCTTTTGTAGTCAGGTCTTGGTGTTAATGTCAGAAGCAGCATGGGGTTCCTAGCACTTCCTTTGGAAGGCTTCTCCTCCAGCTAGGATCTGTTCCTGTCAAAAAAAGTTTGCTCCATTTATCACCCAACCTTCCATAATTCCTTCTCATTACATCTCTATGGTACCATCAGCAGTGACAAACCATCCGCTGGGGGTATTTGTCCCTGTCAGGTGTGGGTGTATGCTGCGTCTCCTCCAGAAAACGTTCAGTTAGGGTAGAAAAACACGCTCCCCACGGAGCCTTAGGGCAGCATTCTGCTTTTCTCCGTGGGGTGAAGTACGACAGCACTCAGGACTGGGGCAGCGTGAACAGCCTGCTGCTCTCCGTGCTCTGGATACTTATAATATTTCCTTATTTTTTTATCCTTTTTTTGCCGCAGAGCTACCCATCCCACTCCTCAGCAGACATCAATTCCAGTCTTCCTCCGATGTCCACCTTCCACCGCAGTGGCACGAATCATTACAGCGCGTCCTCTTGCACACCCCCTGCCAACGGGACGGACAGTATCATGGGTGAGTCGGGGTTGGGTGCTGCGCCCTTGCCCTCCTGCCTCCCCTCCCGTCTGCTTCGGCGCTCCGTGATCGCGCCCGAGACCTGAAACGTGATGGCGTGCAGGACTAGCTGCTTAGTTCAGTGCGTGCAGGGAGGTAGCAAGGCTTTTGTGGAAATGAGTACGTCATAGTTGGCCTTCACCCCCTTAGCTCGTGCATTTTCCTTCTTTTTTGTGAGTTAAACACAATTACAGCAAAGCGCTTCGCTTCAGACGCTGTACGGAAGACATGGCACCAGCTGAGTGCCTGGTGCCGCTTGTTTTGAAGTTTGATTTTGTGGTTGTTTTGGTGATTGAAGCGCTTGGTGATGCTCCTCTATCGCGACGTTCGTGCCCTTCGGTTCGTCGCCGGGTTCCCACGTGGCACCCTGAGGGAGAGAGCTGCCCCCGACCCTGCCGCCAGTGACGCCGAAAATTAAGAGCATACCTCTGTCTACTTAAATATTTGGCAAATGCCGGTTCATCCTTAAATACAGGAAATAAAAAAATATTGCTTTGCCTGTATCTCAAAGAGCAAACAATGCTAATTAAATAATTGGTAAATAGGGAACACATCGCTGGACACATGTTTCACATTACACACATGATTCTGTATTGAATGACTGCGAGCAGGACTAATGCAGGAAGAATGGAGGGTGGGTTCAAACATTAACACATGGGCATCATATTTTTCAGGGTCTCTGAACAAAGGAGAAACTAAATACAGTCTCTTCTTAATTTGTCTCTGTCTGAGAAAAACGGATCCCATTTCAGGATAGCATTTGTGTGCTCAACCTCGTCATTCCGTGGAGAGTTCTGCCTTCATGGCGTACTGCTGCTTCCGTGCGCGTGGCACAGGCAGATCACTCTCTTTTTCCCTCAAAAGAAGGCTGATGGAGTCCCAGGTTAATCCAGCCACCTTCACGCCAGTTACGCGGCAGCCTTCCAGAGCACATTTAGGGATGCGAGATCTTGCGGAGGGACGTAAACAGGCAGGGGTCTCCTGCCCCTGTGCCTCCGGGAGCCACCCAGAAAAGTGCCTGAATTTCCCATGTAAAAAAAAAACCCAACAAAAAACCACACACCCAGCTTTTCATCTGGCTTCATCTCCTGAAAACCCCAGCGTGTGACTCAGAAGAGCAACAATGCAGACACGCAGATTATTTTTTTAGCGGCTGTAAATATTCAACAAGTAGTTGGGCTGTGTCTGAGCTGAGGGCTGCAAAAGTATTTCTTGGGTCTCGATGCAAGTCCTGTTCTCCTCCTAAACCAGTGCACCTCCCCAGAAGTCTGGGCACACGCTGTCTTTGCCCTGATTTTCCCGAGCAGGCCCAACTGGGAGCTGCTGCGCCTCCGTCCCAGTGACTGGGGACCCCGAGCAGGGCTGGGGCAGGTGAGCCCCAACGCTCGAGCAACAGGGAGAAAAAATCCTCCCAAGGGACTGCAGGATGGCATCGGCGGTGGTTGATTTTACACTGAGGGTTGGCTTTGTATTTCCAGAGTGTTGATGTTGAAGCGACCGGTTAGTGAGCTCGAACAGACGCCGTACGAGTGGGTCGTACCCGTCTGATGCCTGGATGAATCCCACTGGCTGCTTTCGCTTCTAGTGACGTGTTGTTTGTATGACATTATGCACTGTGACATGCAGCTTTTCCAGGAGAAACATCATGTGCGTTTCCCCTTGAGGCGCTGGTTTCACAGTAATTTTATTACCAGAGCAGTCACATAATACTGCACTGTATATTTTACAAGAATGTTAAGCTTCCAGTTACAGGAGGGTGGTGAACTGTCGCGCAGTATAAGAAGAATATGACTTTTATCCAGCAATGTCACTTCCTCATAATTTGGGAGGATCATCAGCTGTGAATACCGAGGTGGTGCAAGTTTTTCCGCTCTTCTTAACATAGAAACATCACTTCCAGTCTGCTGTTTCAGAAAGCCTTACTCCATCAGAACAGCGTGAGTTTGTACTAGAATTTAAACTATGAACAGTCCGGCTGGAATTCTCTAACAGAAATCTCCAGCCTATCGGTTAAACGAGATGCTTTGCTAGATACAATTCTGCTCGCTGAGATACCGATTCCTGGAAGTTTATTCAATAATCTGAGATTTACAATCAGAATCCCAGCAGAAGGATGTGAAAAGGCTGTACTTCGTCATTCTGTCCCCTCGCTTCCCAGCGCGGAATTGTTCTTCGGAGAAACATGCTGAGAAAGTTTTAGGAGATTAACTGTAACAATAAACACGCTCTTCAACAAGAGTTAGAATCAATCCATCAAGAGGTTGCAGGCTTTCACGAGGCCTTCAGTACATTAATAGTCCTGTGAGCAGGGGAACAGCTCACAGGGAAAAGCCGCAGCTCTGGCGGCGCGTTTTCAAGTCCCGTTTTCCAATCCTGTGCCCGAGTTCTCTTTGTCTTCTGCATCACACCAGAATTTGCTGATGGTTTGTGTCGGCGCAGACCTGCCTTCCCAAGCGGGGACGCCAGCGTTAGGCTCACGTGTAGTCTCTGGTAACAAGCGTCTTTAGGCCAGTCGGAGGAAGTAAAGACCAGCACAAGTAGATAAGAAATGCTTGTTGTTTCAGGTGGGTGCTCCAAGTGAGATAACTTAGCCCTCAGCGTGATCCTGGGTCTTCCCTGCAGCTCCTGCAGCCGGGACCGTCGCGTTGGTGTGGTTGGAGGGGACATCCCTGCCCGGCTCTGGAGCTGTGCTCCGTGCAGTCATCTAATCCCCTCTGAACCTGCCTGCTTGCCTGGCTTCCCCCAACTGCATGCTCTGCAGGGATGGGCTTCACCTATTTTAATTTTTTATCCTGGAAGTTTCATCAAATGTTCCCTTGCTCTTGGCTCAAACCATTGTCCATCATCGGTTAATGAATTAAAACCTTCCTTGGAGTCTGGATTTGGCTGCTTCCTTCAGTTAAAGCCCAGTGTAGAAATGTCTTGGATAAACTGTGCCCTTCCAGTTTTGGGGGAGTTCCCTAGTGTTCCTGGTGTTAAATTGTTCCATGTTTTACTTAAGAACTTGAAAACATCTGTCCTTGTTCAGAGCAAAAGCTCGTCTATGCAGCAGTCCTGCCTCCAGCAAAAAGTCTTAATGATTTCCTTGGGAGGAATATCAAAACAAAGCAAACATATAGGATATTCTCCCAGTTGTTCCCGCGCTCAGGATTTAGGAAGCTTGAGTTCATTCTTCTCCATGAAGTGACCCGGCCTTCCCTGGAGGCTCGGCCTGGCACGGTGATGTTACACACTTGTGGAACAGTGCTCCTCCTCCTTCAGACTCCGCTCCCTCAGGGCCCGATGCGGTCCTTCCCCCTCGTGTTGCCCTCAGCGGGAGGTGACAGCCTTTCTGCCCTCTTGTTTCGCTTCATGTATCATTTCACAGAATCCCAGAATCATCCGGGTTGGAAAAGCCC